AAGTTTACATCAGGATCTATGCCTTTAATCATAGGATGAGAGTAATTTTACAAACTCGATTTTCTGAGTAAAAAATTATAAGAGTTATATTGAATCTACAACTAGACTTAGAAACAATACTATGTAATTATTTTAAAACTTTTAAAAATATAAAAAAAACTATGGATTATTATTGAATAGATAATTCAGTTAAAGCACTTTAGGATTAAGTAGCACCTAATTATTTAACAAATGTGAGCTTATGAACTATGGAAGATATTTACAGCTAAAAGAAAGAGCTAGTGAATATAATAATCAAAGAATGAATTAAAAAACAAAAACAGTAGCACCTGAAGTCAATAGCACTTGAATATTTTAATAAATGTGAATATAGGACAAGAGGGAAAAATATTAAAACACTTGAAAGTGGCCCTTTAGTTGTTATTAAAACTAAGAGTAATAACAATTATGAATAAAGGGTTTTTACAATGTATTTGGTATATAGAGTATATTTCAGGAGAAATGTAAAAAGTGACTAAATTAAGTAGTGGTAAACAACCTTTAAAGGATAGAAGTCACTATGATGTGAATTAAACCTGAGAGTAGGATTTGCCTTATAGCATAATGTTTGAGTATTAATATAACAAAAATAATTATTATTTGAGATAGATGATACTAGCTAGTGAAAGATGGTACAAGGAATTGCACAGTAGTGTAGTAGGAACATACACTAGTTTCTAATTGTAGTTTGGGAGCAAAGGGAAAATTTGGTAAGATTTTAATAAAATTATAACAGTGCTTAAGTAGGAATAATTTGTAATACAAATATTATTATAGGAGTTCTTATTATCAAATAATAAATTGTGAATGGGAGATTGGGAAGATAACACAAAATTGAGTCACACAAGGAACTGTGTGGGACACATGGGGTATTGAAGTAGTAAATGCTATCCAGGAGGTGATTGTACAGGATTAAAATTTGATAATGACATAAAAACATACACTAAGTAGTACAAGACATGCCAGAAACAGCTCTGGACAAGTATTTAGTCTAAGCACCCAGACTTGTTTCTCTACATATAACTGCACTCTGAAAGTCTGGAGATGAAGTGAAACAAATCTTGATGGGAATCGTAGCAGGTACGATTCTGCAGAACATCTATGAGCAACGAGCATAAGAGCTTTCTGTACAAGTGGGCTTGGGCTCAGAGCTGAGATAACAGCTGTCAAATGCACTGGTCACATCGGATGACTTAGCACAGTGGTGCTACTCAGGTCTGGCTCAGACCTCACTGGATACACGGAAACTACACACACCCGTGGTACATGCGGTACACTAACATGTGAGAACACTGACTGAGAGGAATTAATTAGCACACAACATATATCTTCTCTCAATCTTCTCGACAATACTGAAATAATTACTAGAAACACTCGATGTGACATCATGTGATGTCAGGCGTGACATCGCGAGGTGATGTCAGCAGCACTGTGACGTCAGCAGACATCTCGAGGTGACATCAGGCAGACATCGTGACGTCATGAAGTCGGGCAGCATCGTCGGTGACGTCGTGAAGTAGGGCAGCATCGTCGGTGGCATCAATGTGATGTGGGCAGCAGACCACAGCATGTGGCCTGGGGCATCTGGCAACTCACGTGGCTCGTAGGTCCATGTGACAACGTCCACACCCCACATGGCGTCGGGATCCACGTGGTGTCGTGATCTCTGTGGCATGCTGACCTACATGGCTTCGAGTTACCTTGGGCACTCGGATACACAGCACTGGCGACGAATTCACACGAAAAAATAGCAGAAAACACAGCAGAGGGAGTGGGCAGTGGTGAGTGGTGTATGGTAGGCTGGTGAGGTGTGAGAGTACAGTAGGGCGAGGCAAGGAATGGCCACTTCCTCCTCTCCCACAAACACGTAGAGAAGCTCACACTGGACGCAGAAATCACCACAAAACTCACCTCTGGCTTGCTGAAACAGCTGTGCTGAGCTGAACAACAACAGCAACATACAAGTGACGCTGAACACGTGACTTGAGAAACAGTGTGGGATGCTGTAGCGTGGGGTCACTTACAATTCTCGAAGAAATTCGGCAAATTTCGGCTGGATCCTGCTTGTACCTGTGTCTGGATGCTCAAACGTGCATACACGACATCAGGATAACTTGTTGAGAGACGGATGCTTCTTGCATGGAGTGATGAAGTGAAGATGACTTCATTCCTTCCTTCCTCTCTCTGGGCAAACACAACTGCTGCGACCACCGCTGCTACCAATGTTTAATGAGTTTATTTGGTAGAGCTGAAAGCGGGGTTCAATGATAGACATCTTGGAGGCTTCTTACTTTGTTGTTAAGTTTTGGTGGATACACAGGCTTGTGTGTTGTGCCCATGGCCCTGGAGGGCCATCCCACGAGAGAGAGCTAGTAGGCCTTGTGTTTTCCTGCTAGGCCGCTGTGTGAGTGAGAGTGTGTGGGACCAGCTTCCCACAGACCTGGACAGGCCCTGAGGGCAGCACTTTAGTGGTGCAAAATATGGACAAGCTGGCAGACAGCATAGTCTGTCTGTGCAGACAGTACAGGCTGTCTACAATTAACCTCCCTGCTTGCCTGTTTGTCTGCCAAATACATAATCCACAAATCCTAATGCTATCCATACATGTCCATCCAAACCCCTCACCCATTCTCCCTCCCACCCAGTTCCCTACCTCTAGCAACATCAACTTACACCTATTAACCCTCATACCTGTTGCAGCCACAAACTTTTCAATGACCCCACCCACGTAGATGAAATCCTCCCATGCACTAATCAAAACCATCGTATCATCAATGTACCCCACTATATGCCCGCCTCATGACTGAGTCTCACTCCCCCTCCTCCACCCGTGATTCACCAGCTCATAAAACATATTTTGTACACATGTGAACAAGATTTGGGAAAGCGGGCATCCCTGCTGCAAACCTCGTTCCATGCATATATTGCTCCCCAATCATCCATTCACCTGAACCCTCATCAGGCCCCAGCATACAATGTTTCTACCCTACCTACTACTTTTGCACCAAAACCCAAGCCAAAAAAACACTCACATAATAAACCCCTATCCACACAATCATACGCATTTTCCCAGTCCAAACCAAGAACACCTCCCCAACCCCCTTCCAGGAAATCTTTGATATGTCCTTGCCCCTCCCTCATGCTTCTCCCAGGCATTCTATACTATCCCCCATGTAATAGATCCTTGGCCCTTTTCAAACGTTGCCCCCTATCCCGCAAAAACCTGTAAAATTTCACACAAAGAAATTTCCCGT